TTTAAAATTTATTAATATTATTTGTAAAGTAGATTATTTTTAAATATAAAAAGTTATTTAATTCTCATAGAGCTATGCTTTTTATATTCACTATAAATACAGTTTAATAGTTTGATAATTCTAGAATATTTTTTAATATTTGTACATTTTAAATAAGAAATATATCACAAAAATTGATTTATTTAATAATAAAAGATAATCAAATTTTTATTTTAAATTTATTTGAAACTTGGATAAAAATTAAATTTAAAAAAAATCAAATTGAAGGATAATAAAATTTAAATTATTTCATTCTTAAATTTCACATAATTTGAAATTATATTACCTTATAAATAGTGAATTTTCGCTTATTAAACATTTATTTAGAAATATTTAAATGAAGATGAAATTACCAGAAAAATTTAAGACAGTAAACATTTATGGCAAAGTCAATTTATCGAACAGTTTTCCAAACTGAAAATAAGCTGCATAGAAATTTTTGGTTTATGGTAAACATGCCACAAACTTATTTTCCGCAAGAATTCATAGCTAACGTAAGTTTAGTCTCATAAATAACGGTTGTTGCAGTTACCCTGCCTAGGCATTTTTTAGAGCGTCCATATAGCAAAGCTTCGCTTCTATCGATTCTTACACCAGCACCTGTCTATTATCTATGGTCGCAAAACTGTTATTATGAGAGAGGTTTGCTCTTTCAACAACATTTGGCCTGATTGTTCTTCACTCTAGTCTTATAATCCACAAGAGAATATCTGGTCTCATTGTTTTATTTCCAAAACCTTTGGTTGTTGATTGAACTGGATGAATCCCTTTAAAAAAGTTCCTCTCCTTCTCCTATGATTAGCACTTGTAAAATTTAAGGTAGAAAAAGAACCACAAGGATTTTTTCCCTTTCGAGATGAAGTTATTAAAGTTATAAAAATATATTTTTTTTGTTAATGAACAACTTTGAAATTAAAGTTTAAATAATTATACATTTTTCTAAAACTGATTAAATTTATCGTTTATGACGTCAAATATTTAAAAATAATAATAATTTTAGAATATTTAATTTTAATTTTCGAATGGTTATAATTATTTTAAGTAAAATTGTAATGATTAGCAAATTAAAAAAAATATAGAGAAATAATTGGCAAATTTCATCATTATTTTATTCGATAAATATAATGAAAGGAAAATAGTTTTTCTTTTTAATTTAGAATTTTTCTAAAAGTTGTTTTTCAGCCATTTGCTTCTCATGTTTCGGACCATTTTGTAATTCGAGGAAACACGGCTGTTATCAGATGTCTATACCCAACTTCTGTTAAAGACTACGTTAAAATAACTCTCTGGATGAGAGACGATGGAGTCACTATTGGTTCTCCTGGTCTTACAGGCAAGTATTTTCTTCATTTACCAAATTGGTTTTGACTTTAAGTATCCAATTTCGTTTCTTTTTTTACTTCCTTTAATCATTCGCGTTACAATATACAATTTTAATAGAAGTTTTTCCCCTTACCTCATCCCTAGCTTGAACTCTAGCTTCAATAGATAATAGCATCATCTTCAATTTCAATTGATAATAAAAATAAATTAGCTTTATTACCGAAATAGAATTCTTCGATGTTGTTATTTTTTAGACTATAACTGATACTAAGAACTGTTTAGCGCTAAACGGATGATTATTGAAACCGATACAATCTGTAATATATGAGATCTCATAACAATAAAATTTTAATCCTCTTGGAATGAAGCTGACATACCAATAAGAGTTTCTATTGTTAAGTTGCTAACATTTCCTTTAACATCAATTTACCTTTTTGTTTAGTAGACAGAAGACAAAGTGGTAAAGTTCAGAAAGAGTCAGTTCTTGTTGAATACTTGGCAGATACAGATGAACTCATGCAGTCAGCCAAACACACTGCTCCTTCTAATGCACTAAACGTTGCCATCAATTTATCTACTTCCCCTAAAACTTAGAATGTGTTTGGTTCTCAGACGAAGTACATAAAATATATAAAAATACTAAAAAAAAACTTCGCACAGACTCGAAGTGGGATTAAGGAAAAATAAAAGTAGAGACGTCGAAGAAAACACATAAATTTTCTCATTGCTATCCTAAAGCACTCCGTTAGTGCTAATTTGTGCAAATCGAATACATTGCTTCGGTCGTGTTATTTCACACTATCAATTTACAAACTCCAGGTTTACTTTAATGCCAAATTAGCAAAGACGAATATATTAACTTGATGGTGGTCTGGAGATAGTATGAGATCTCAAAAACTTACTTTCAAATATTCTTGAAAGTATGGCAATTTTAATATTAAACAGCTTATCACTTTTAAATATTTGCATTTAATGAGTGCACAAACTGCTATAAATATAAAAATTAATTTAATCAACTTCTAAGTTTGGAAAAAATTCATTAATATATTAAAACATTTACAAATAAAGAATGTTTTTTTATTATTATAATTTTTAACTTAATTACATTATTAATTTTTAACAACGTTAACTTTATTTAATAATAGACAATTCGATTATAATTACAAGCAATAACGAATCGTTTAAAAATTGTTTTTTTTATAGCAAAATACGCGAGTTATGTTAGATGTAAATCTTTATATTACATTAGTGATATATTTATTCATAAATATTCCAGAACATAAAAGTAAATAAAGCTCTACTCATGTATTAGATACTGTCAACGTAACTCTTAATATAACGTCAGTTTCTGTGTAGCATCAGTAGAAATTCTTATATAATTTCTTAAAAGTTAATTTTATAAAATTCGTTTAATAGGTAAAATATTGCTGTCTTAATGTAACTTAAAAGCCATTTTTCATCTACACAGATTCGAATTTAATAGTAATAAGCATTTAGTTTTTTTGGGGGAGGATATAAATAAGAAATATTTACATATTACAGAAGACTTTTAGAATGTGAACGAGAAATAATACAATTTCGCTCTTTCTTAGGAGAAAAATATATTATCCTTCCTACGGGAGAGCTTCTAATTCGTAATATAAGTCCAGCAGATGCAATAAGAGGATATAAATGTCAGCTTCTTCACCAGCTAACTAGTCAAAGTATAATGAGTTCTAATGCTGGAAAGATAATTGTTAGAGGTAAATTATTTTATATATATATATATAATCTATAGTATCCTAATTATAATTTAAGATAATTAATTGTTCTTTAATGTTTTTAAAAGCTTGAAACGTTTCTAGTTATGTTGCAGACTTTTAAGAATTAAATTAAAATTTTACGATTATTGTTTTCTGTTTAATGTTATAAGAAGATAACATCATTAATTTTCAGAATTAATTTTATATAATTTTTATTTTTTAACTCTGTTTTCTAAAATTGAGATTTGTTATGACATTTCTATATATAATGGCATTTTGTTTATTTATTATAGCATGAATTATATTATTTTCTATAGGCGCATATAGCATTGTCATGTCAAGTTTTCACTAAAGTGAATAGGTCATAGATCATCGTCTAACATTTTTTTCTTATTTAATAAAAGTAAATTCGCATTTTAGAGATATTTTATTACTGTAATTGCAAACAATCACAATAAATTGAAATAAAAAATAAAATATTTTTATATATGAAAACGTAGAAGAAATAAAATTGCGTGATAATAATTTCTTATGGATGTTAGTAGAAAACGCATCTATCTTCATCAGCAACTCTTATACTGTTAGCTATGTGTGACAAGTCAAAGACAAAACTCTGAATAATGCATTTTTCTTTGGATAACAATGTATATTTATGGGACGAATCAATGTTAAACTACTGATGTGAATGCAATTGAAAGATGATATAAAAATATTTCGCTATACCGCAATAATGGTAGTGAGAGTAGACGAAAAGATAAGAGACGATGGTATCAATATTATCGACAAATACATGGTCCTGGAAATGTTGGAAATGTTTCATTCAATAGGATGTTGGCAAGACATCCAGACTGGCAAAGGGACATTACCGGATCGAAGAATCATCACGGTTCTATTGAACTATTGCTACCTCGAGAAAATCCCTGTTCTCCAATCATTGTTCACCTTTTCTAGCTTGTGGGAGATTTTCTGAACAAATGGAGTTATTTCTTTGTTGTGCCTTTTATATAGCTTTTTGCTGAATTTCAAACTTATAAATCCTGGAATACAATTATGGCCAAAAGGATTTATACGTAATATTTTTTTTATAAAATAAATGTTACAAATGGACAATTTAATTCGATATATCACATATTGATATAAATTTAACTCATATTTTTTAAAAACTTATTTCCTATATATAGAGCCAATATATTTTTATATAAAAAATAAAGAAAAATTAACATATTTTTAGTTTTTAAACAGTATAAATATAATTATATAATTAAAAGTAATATTTTTGAATTATAACTTATTTTTAAACTATTTAGCATATGTAATATTATGGATATATTTACATATTCTGGAATATTTTAATGATTAAGTGTACATAAATAGAAATTTTAATTATTATTTTTTACATATATTATATTAATCTACTACATATTAAACCAATTTTTTAAATTTAATATTTATTTTAAAGAAAAATTGTCAAACTTTATGCTTAAAATAAAAGTTATACAATTTATATTCATATTTTTTCAAATGAAGTTATAGAAAGATAGACGTATTTGTGTAATTTTTTTTTTAATTTTGGAATCAGTTGGTATTCTATATTAAATAAAAATAGAATTCTGGAATATATAAATATATCTCATATTGAATCATACGATGAGATGATTTATGGTCAAAAAGATACACTCCCTATGTAAATTTTATGAAAGGGATATTGTAAACGAATATTTTAAATCAATTTATCAAGTTTTTAGACTGTATATTTAACTGGTTTTTTTTAAATAATATTCCTGCTTAATTCATAAGCATATACTTTCAATTATCATTAATATAAGAACTTTCTATTTTTGAAACATTAAAGATATATAAAACCATGAAATGAGATATATTTTACGTTTTCTAGAACCGCTAAATCCATTAGCGCCAACCATTACCGAGGCAAAAACTCTAATTCGAGCCAGAGAAGGAGAAAAGGTGTACATACCATGTATTAGTCAAAGCTATCCACAATCTACCTATCGCTGGATGAAAAGAGATGGTGTAAGATTACTTCCGATTCAAACATCAAGCAGGAGAATATTGCATGGAAACGAAATACTTGTTATACAACAGGCAATATCCGATGACAGCGGTGTATACATCTGTATAGCTAACAATAGCGTTGGAGAAGAGCGAACAGAAACAAAGCTTTTAATTTCTAGTAAGTAAAGTATAAAATATATATTTACGACATTTTAATTGTGAAATTCTTACTCCGTAAAAGAATTTATTAACAAAAGATTTTTAAGTTGTTTAACAGCCTCATCAAAAAGCACTGACTCATGAATCGTGTTTTCTTCTTCCAACCCCAACAACGAAAGCATTGAGCGTACTCTGCATACCTTCACCTAAACTTATCGGAGTGTTTCACTCTTCCAAAACGTTCGTTCAACAATAAATTACTCGGAGTTATGTTCAGTCTGTGAAAGATAGTTAATCCTAAACAAATTATCAAAGTGGTCGATGGATAAGACTTCTGGTTTTCAAAGATAAGTTGCGGTGCAAGAAAATATACTCGATTCTCTGATAGAAAAATAATTAACATATTCTTGACAACAGGATTGATAGCTGGAAGTTTTGATCTCTACAAAATGATCAGTATTAAATCGAAAAGAACCAATTAAAAAAAATTATCCATCCGATGTATGAGACTAACTTCTCGCCTACGGATGTGAATTCGCTGATGTGAAACTAATCTAAGAGCTTTTTTACACGCTTGTCTCTCAATACATCCCCTCCCCTTTTTTTTGCTAGACAAATCACTTCTGTTTAATTTTTTTAATGTTTTTCTCTCTCCTATCTGATTGATTTATAAATTTAAAAATTATTTTTTTCATTTAGAAAGTTTATATAATTTAAATTTATATCGATATTTAAATGTAAATAATGCAATTTTTGAGAAAATTATAAAATATTTATTTGTATAAGTGCTAAACAACATTCTTATAAAGAATTAAAACAGTTAATACCGTTTCTAGCAAAGTTTACGGATTTTTCTTTTTTTTGTGGGAGATGATACAAGAAGAAAAAATATATAAATCGTGTGATATTTGAAGCGAAAAAGAACAAAAGGAAAATGACAATACACTCATCATTTCGAGTGGTCATAGAAAAATTCCTTTCATTAGTTGGAAAATCTGGAGAATATCTTCAGATACACAAACATAACGAAGAGGCGGAGATTCTCAAACTTGTGAAAGAAGTTTGGAAGATAAAAAAAAAACAATAAACGTAATTTGTTGAACGCAATTTATTTTTAGAGTTTAGANCAAAACGAGTATAAAGTTCTATAGACTTTATAAATATTCATTACTTCATTATATGGAACATTAACAAGTCATTTTATGAATTATTCATTAAGCTTGTTTTATTTTACAAACAATAATTAGGCCTAAACTTAAATTGCTGTATTTTATTTACTAAATAAATCTTATATCAATTTTGAAATAATTATTTTAGAGTGGGATATATATTTTTAAGAAAGATATTGAAAAAAATTTACTTTGTTGCACTTTAAAACCGCCTTGTAATCAAATTCTGCACGTAAATTGGTAATAAAAAAAAAACAAAAACTCCATTACAATGGCACAGCGCAAGGATACATCACTGGAAAAAAAAAAACAGTTTCATCACAAATGTTGCATATTAGTAAGTTGTAAAGCCATCTCTGACATTAGTCAGTTTGCATTAATTGCCAGACTGTGTTTACCACTTTCCGATTTGTAACATTTGTGATGAAACTGTTCCTTAATGGTGTATCCTTGTGCTGTAATGTTGTAATCAATTTATTCTTTCACCGGCATTTCGCATGCAGAATTGCGTCGAATTTTTTGCAATAGAGTATACTCTACGTATATATGAAAACGTAGAAGAAATAAAATTGCGTGATAATAATTTCTTATGGATGTTAGTAGAAAACGCATCTATCTTCATCAGCAACTCTTATACTGTTAGCTATGTGTGACAAGTCAAAGACAAAACTCTGAATAATGCATTTTTCTTTGGATAACAATGTATATTTATGGGACGAATCAATGTTAAACTACTGATGTGAATGCAATTGAAAGATGATATAAAAATATTTCGCTATACCGCAATAATGGTAGTGAGAGTAGACGAAAAGATAAGAGACGATGGTATCAATATTATCGACAAATACATGGTCCTGGAAATGTTGGAAATGTTTCATTCAATAGGATGTTGGCAAGACATCCAGACTGGCAAAGGGACATTACCGGATCGAAGAATCATCACGGTTCTATTGAACTATTGCTACCTCGAGAAAATCCCTGTTCTCCAATCATTGTTCACCTTTTCTAGCTTGTGGGAGATTTTCTGAACAAATGGAGTTATTTCTTTGTTGTGCCTTTTATATAGCTTTTTGCTGAATTTCAAACTTATAAATCCTGGAATACAATTATGGCCAAAAGGATTTATACGTAATATTTTTTTTATAAAATAAATGTTACAAATGGACAATTTAATTCGATATATCACATATTGATATAAATTTAACTCATATTTTTTAAAAACTTATTTCCTATATATAGAGCCAATATATTTTTATATAAAAAATAAAGAAAAATTAACATATTTTTAGTTTTTAAACAGTATAAATATAATTATATAATTAAAAGTAATATTTTTGAATTATAACTTATTTTTAAACTATTTAGCATATGTAATATTATGGATATATTTACATATTCTGGAATATTTTAATGATTAAGTGTACATAAATAGAAATTTTAATTATTATTTTTTACATATATTATATTAATCTACTACATATTAAACCAATTTTTTAAATTTAATATTTATTTTAAAGAAAAATTGTCAAACTTTATGCTTAAAATAAAAGTTATACAATTTATATTCATATTTTTTCAAATGAAGTTATAGAAAGATAGACGTATTTGTGTAATTTTTTTTTTAATTTTGGAATCAGTTGGTATTCTATATTAAATAAAAATAGAATTCTGGAATATATAAATATATCTCATATTGAATCATACGATGAGATGATTTATGGTCAAAAAGATACACTCCCTATGTAAATTTTATGAAAGGGATATTGTAAACGAATATTTTAAATCAATTTATCAAGTTTTTAGACTGTATATTTAACTGGTTTTTTTTAAATAATATTCCTGCTTAATTCATAAGCATATACTTTCAATTATCATTAATATAAGAACTTTCTATTTTTGAAACATTAAAGATATATAAAACCATGAAATGAGATATATTTTACGTTTTCTAGAACCGCTAAATCCATTAGCGCCAACCATTACCGAAGCAAAAACTCTAATTCGAGCCAGAGAAGGAGAAAAGGTGTACATACCATGTATTAGTCAAAGCTATCCACAATCTACCTATCGCTGGATGAAAAGAGATGGTGTAAGATTACTTCCGATTCAAACATCAAGCAGGAGAATATTGCATGGAAACGAAATACTTGTTATACAACAGGCAATATCCGATGACAGCGGTGTATACATCTGTATAGCTAACAATAGCGTTGGAGAAGAGCGAACAGAAACAAAGCTTTTAATTTCTAGTAAGTAAAGTATAAAATATATATTTACGACATTTTAATTGTGAAATTCTTACTCCGTAAAAGAATTTATTAACAAAAGATTTTTAAGTTGTTTAACAGCCTCATCAAAAAGCACTGACTCATGAATCATGTTTTCTTCTTCCAACCCCAACAACGAAAGCATTGAGCGTACTCTGCATACCTTCACCTAAACTTATCGGAGTGTTTCACTCTTCCAAAACGTTCGTTCAACAATAAATTACTCGGAGTTATGTTCAGTCTGTGAAAGATAGTTAATCCTAAACAAATTATCAAAGTGGTCGATGGATAAGACTTCTGGTTTTCAAAGATAAGTTGCGGTGCAAGAAAATATACTCGATTCTCTGATAGAAAAATAATTAACATATTCTTGACAACAGGATTGATAGCTGGAAGTTTTGATCTCTACAAAATGATCAGTATTAAATCGAAAAGAACCAATTAAAAAAAATTATCCATCCGATGTATGAGACTAACTTCTCGCCTACGGATGTGAATTCGCTGATGTGAAACTAATCTAAGAGCTTTTTTACACGCTTGTCTCTCAATACATCCCCTCCCCTTTTTTTTTGCTAGACAAATCACTTCTGTTTAATTTTTTTAATGTTTTTCTCTCTCCTATCTGATTGATTTATAAATTTAAAAATTATTTTTTTCATTTAGAAAGTTTATATAATTTAAATTTATATCGATATTTAAATGTAAATAATGCAATTTTTGAGAAAATTATAAAATATTTATTTGTATAAGTGCTAAACAACATTCTTATAAAGAATTAAAACAGTTAATACCGTTTCTAGCAAAGTTTACGGATTTTTCTTTTTTTTGTGGGAGATGATACAAGAAGAAAAAATATATAAATCGTGTGATATTTGAAGCGAAAAAGAACAAAAGGAAAATGACAATACACTCATCATTTCGAGTGGTCATAGAAAAATTCCTTTCATTAGTTGGAAAATCTGGAGAATATCTTCAGATACACAAACATAACGAAGAGGCGGAGATTCTCAAACTTGTGAAAGAAGTTTGGAAGATAAAAAAAAAACAATAAACGTAATTTGTTGAACGCAATTTATTTTTAGAGTTTAGACTACAAAAATTTGTAATCTAAACTGTAGAAAAAGTAAAAACAAATATCACTTGTACAGAAAATAATATAAACTTTCTCGCTGTTTTTTTTTTCTTTTCGTCTTTAGAATTTTATAATCTTTTTAAATTTACGGATATTTTCTTGTTTTTTAATATATTTTCAACAAATTTTAAAGTAGTTTATATATTTATAGTATAAATTTTATTATATTTAGGTCCTCTTAGTTGTCGAATAGAACCTAAAATTCAGAAAGTCGACATAGGAAAACAAGCTTTATTAAATTGCAAAATACAAGGACAACCAGTTCATAGTATAAATTGGCTGAAAGACGGTTTTCCAATTATTCTCAACAACAGAATATCACTTATATCACGTGAAGTTATTCAGATATATCCTGTACAGCGCGAAGATAAAGGAATGTATCAATGTTTTGTTGGCAACGATATAGAAACTTTTCAATCGATAGCAGAAATCACAATTGGAGGTTTGTAATGCCCCCTCTGAGGATAATTATTAATACTTTTAGATCTATCTCATCTCATGATTATTAATTTTAAGAAAATTTAACTTCTAATTTTCAGAGGATGCGCCTACGTTGATTTACACCTTCAGAGAACAAACCATTCAACCAGGCACCTCTATATCTTTAAAATGCTCTGCTGCTGGCAATCCTTTACCACAAGTTACTTGGTTAGTGGATAATTCTGCTATACCCGAGGCGTATCATATTCGTATAGGTGATTACGTCAGTGACGAGAGAACTGTCAATAGTTACGTCAATATAAGTTCTCTGAAAATTGAAGATGGTGGAATATATACATGTATAGCCCAAAATGATGTAGGAAGTAAATTGTACTCGTCGAAACTCAATGTTTATGGGCCACCTTTTATTAAACCTATGAGAAATATCACCGTTCTAGATGGACAGAATATTCAAATATCTTGCCCAGTTTCTGGTTATCCAATTGAGAAGATATATTGGGAAAGAGGTAAGACCTATTTTTTCATACGCTTTTACATAATCACATCATTTAATGAGTTATTATATGGAGTTGATACATTGATACGCTGTTACGAGTATCCCAGATATTATCAGTTTACTTATTACCGAATATAATTTTAATTATAGCGTTAACATTTAAAGGATGATATCTTCTTCTTGAGGCTCTCAGTCAACGTTCTTAAATTGTAATTGTGAATAGTTGTAAATTTGTAACTCGTATTAATCACAAGGGAGTAACAGGTTAAACGTAGTGAAGGAAATGTTATGATCATTAAGAATTTAATTTGTATTACTAATCATCAGAAAACGGTTGGAACATTAGACAAATCATTAAATAAACTTCGAGTCTCACTAATGGCCCGTGACGTCATTATGGCACACAAAGCATGGATACTGCCTATATAGGAAAAGAGCTTTGAAGCTATGACTGTCATTTCTCACAAATGGCTCCTTCCGTTTCGATAAAATGAAAATCGACTTATTGAAATGTCCCAAATATGGTTTAGATAGAAAATTAACACACAGGTGTGCCTAGTTGGCTTTTTTTAATGGATTAAAATACGTTATCATTTTCCTTTCTAGACAAATTTACTACAATTTTTTGTATCATTTAATATATTTTCTAATTTTAAATTCGCCAATATTAAATATATAACTTATATATAATACTTTTCTTAATTTTATACTAAAGCCTCTTTTATAAAAATAATAACACGATTACGTTTAATTATTCTTAATTTTTTTTTTACTTGTAGATTCTTTATAGTTAGATAATTATATTTTTAAAGTTATAAATCTCTTGTTTCTGGTATAAAATATATCAAAAAAATAATAAAATTAACGAATGTTTTTATACGTTATCCTTTGATATATGTTTGTGTGGATAAACTCGTAATAAACAAAGATTCTCTCGAACGCATATAAGGGGAAAAATATGAGGGGGTATAGTATATTAAATCACACACCATCTGAATAAATCACGATATACGGCAGCTATAAAATTTTTATATAAAATAAATGGGTTGCTATTCACAGTGCTAAAAAGAAATATTCGGAAAATGTCTGGTAAAACTTGCAAGGAAAAACTCCTCCAGGAAGAATTTTATAGTTGTGAAATCTTTCTAATTTAACTTTTTTCACAACTTTCGAAAGTTAAATTATATCTAGACGAATTCGGGTATAATTTAGTATATAAAATTTTATCAAGATCGATATCGTTACACAGTAACGATAATTACTTTTTCTCGTTTTGTTGTATATAAACCGCAACATTTCTGTATATGCTTATGTATTAATGTATCACTAGAAATTTATTTTATTTAACAGACGGTAGAATTCTTCCGCATAACCACAGACAGAGAAGTTTTAACAATGGCACGCTGGTTATTCAGGAAGTACAGAAAAGAAACGACGGAGGGCGATACACCTGTATTGCTGAAGACAACAAAGGGAGAAGTGCCCGCAGGGATGTCACCATGACTATTATGGGTGAGTTTATGACATTACTTCTTAAGTGAGTGTTTCGTTGTATGCTGCTAGCTCGACAGAAACACTTTCTACAACTAATTGTTGTCCAAGTTAATAGTTCTACCAGAAATAAGAATCTCTAGAGCCTAGAGCTAAGGTATAAATAAAAAAAAAAGTATATAAACGTCTTGTAAAATAGATAGAGTAAACATCTCTAATGAGGTTATATGTTTGCTTCAGACATTAAAATCTGTCATTTAATAGCATTTCATTGAGAAAAAAATTTTGTTATTATTTTTAAAATTTTTTAAACATATTTTGAAGTGATTTATTTATTTTTTTAACAGTAAAGATTATTTCTAATAATTTTTTACATTAAATTTTTAGCAAAAAAAATATATATATATTTTCTTATTATATTTAAAATTCTTCTAGTTATCCGCGATTTTTTAAAAGCTATTTAATTTCGAGAAACCAAGATGTTTTCTTTAAATGGCTTGTAGTTTACATGGTTGGAATAATATTGAATTTTTATATGAAACCACTCGAGAAGTTAAAATTTATTTAAGAAAAAAGAAATGAATTTTTATGCGTTTTATTGAATTAAAAAACAAAGAAAAAAAAGAATTTTAACAAACTGGGTGAAATGTTTTAGATGTAAGCAACTAAAATGGAGTATTGAGCCAAGATTAGAATGAAAGCGCAAGAACAAAATGCATTTTCAATTATAATCCATTTTAAGAAGGGTTGAGTTTAAAAAAAAAAAAAGTAAATTTTTATTAAATTAAGTATTATGTAATTTCACAGAGATTTATATTTTTGTTTAGTTAAAAGGAAAGATTTAGATTTCAATGTTTCGTGCACGACAAAAGAATTTAATCTGTGTAAATAAGTTTAAAATTCTACTAAGATAAAGGCGTTAATTATTTTGAAAATTGAATATTTGCAGAATATTATACTTTTTTCTTAATAAGAAATTGATAAAAATAGAAAGAAAAATAAAGGATAAATATAACGACAATCATCTGAGAATTTAAATTAATAGCTTTCAACTTACGACTATTAGAAACATAATCTAGGAAGCATTGTGAGATTCAAAGGTTTTATACTTTCATAATAGAGATGACGCTTTCCATTATTATACTTTCAGCTGTATCTATTTGCTAGGTTTGAACGGTTTTGTACTGTATTTAGAAAAAATCGTTCCATTCTTTACATTAAAAATAGTACAGAGATGCTTAAATTTGTAGAAAAATTTTCCATCTTCTAAACGTAAATCGAGAAAGGAGGTCGATATTACTAGAAAGAAAAAAAAAGCAGATTCCATTTAATGAATAAGTATTATTATTATTTAAAATATTAATTTTATTAGATTTTGATTTAAAATTAACGAATAAAAGATAATGATATTTAAATATTTTATGAATATGGAATCTAGACTTTTCATTATTAGACGAAAATTTTTATTTTTAGAAATATGTATGTAAACAAGTTGTCAAACTAAATTAATTTATTTTTCCTAAAAAAAGTTAATTCACATGCATGTTACTTCTAATATTTAGAAGGAAAAAATAAAGGAAAAAAACATTGTAGTGGATTAAAATTCAGATTTTAGAATATAATTATTTTTTACATATAAACTTTTATATATGCTTATAACTCTATGTTTAAGAAGAATAATATATAATTTTCTATTTAGGCCGTTTACAGAATATTAAATCTATAATATATGATAATGTCATTTATTTATTAATAAATTTTTCAATTTATTGATAGAAGTATATTATAATTATGTATAAATTTATATTATATATGCATATTTCTCTAATGCTAATTAGAGAAATATGCATATATATTATGTGTGTTAAATATAAATATATAATAAATATATTTAGGCCTATATTTAACACATTTATGATTAATATATTATTATTATTAAATAATTGTATTTTCCGTTATTTATTAAAATTATTTTTGTATTTTAAAATGTATATTAATATTAGTGTCGCAACTAGTAAATCACGGACCCCTTATTATTTTCTATCCATTATAAGAATAAAAGCGGTATTTTTTTTTAAGTAATTTCAACATTTCTAATGGAATTACCAATTAAAAATTGTTTAAAAATAGCACTTTAAGCATTACTTTTTATACATTATTATAATGTATACGAGTAAGATTCTTTTATCTGAAGATTTTGTTATAAATTATTATTGAAATATCATCCGAGTCGATGTGTCGTTAATTTTAAAAAATATTGTAAAAATTATTCATAATTTTATTGTAAAATGCATGAAATATATTCTAAAAATAACATTTTTTCAATATATCGATTGTTTAAAATTATCATGAGTGTTTTTTTCCCTTTAATTTATTTACGCAACGAAACTTCAAAGTTGCATAACGTTAAAACGAATTATTTTACTTAAAAATAAAAAAGTGTGAATTTTTTACATGTAATTTGCTTTATATATAAGTGTAACGCAATTGATTAGATTTTCCATTAGATATTTTTGATATATAGAGCATTACTGACAGACAATTATCAAATATTGATAAAATATAATATGTTAGAATTCGATTATAACTTAGAAAAATATCTTAATATTATTTGTAAACACATGATTATTTATTTAAAAGATAAATTTGAAGTATTCTATAAAATAATAANGTTTTTCCACATATTTAGATAGAATTATAGAATTTTAACTTTGCACTTAACAAATTAGTATAATCAAGAGGAGGAAAAATAGAATTTTTAATCTAAAAAAATTCAATTTTAATGAACTTTATCTAAATTCAATTAATTAATTTACAGAATGTTTTAAATTGCAATATTATCTTAAAAATATATATAAGAGAAATGTAGAAAATATGATGTTTCCTTTCGTAAATCTAAAAAGAAAAATAACGTGTAAAATTCTTATTTAAATGAGATTCAAATGTTAGAAATTTTAAATAATTTTCATTCGCGTGTTGTACAAGTTTGAAAATTATATATTTTAAGAAGAAAAGAGAGAAATATTTGAAAAAAACAAAAAATAAAAAATAAGATATCCAATAATGGGGAATAATGGGGAAAATATTTGCCGAAATACATCAAAACAGGATAGTGGATGAAGAGATATAACAGACCAATGTCACAGATATGTGGACACTGTCATCTAGTAGGAAGACATACCAAAGTCCTGGATACTCAAAATACCTTAAATTCCGAGAATAACTTGTGCTGACCTGATTGTATCTATGGATACGTACATATATCTTGTGACAGAAGCACAAGAAAGGTTTTTAATGCAACCATTAGATTCTTTATCCGAACGTATTTATTACATTCGAGATTTATTAAAACGTAAGGTTTTGTTGAAATATGCAGATAAAATAATTAACTAATTAAGCGAAAACGTTAAGAATATTATCGTGCATTAATATGGCTCTATTCATTATAATAACTGCAGACATTTAAATCAGTGCATTCCTTTCTGTAGATGTAACTAATTCAATTAGTATTATTCTACACTAAACAGGAAATGAAAATACTTTTGGTAATTTAATGACGATTTATAATCTGTAAAAAGTTGCTTTAAACATTCGAAATCTTTTAAAAATTAACGTTGTTTCCAGCGAGACATTAAAACCAGAATTTTAATGCCTTTGTTCATTTGAAAAACAAGATTTTTATTGATGCATTGCCTTTTATTTTCTCAGTTTGTTACACGTTTTGCAAATCAAACCAATATCATTAAGAAAGTTCTATAAAAATTTCAAATAATGTGCCATTAAATATTCGTGTTTTCTTCATTTTTAAGCTTTTAAATTTCTGCTAATGCTTAATGTAGTGGTTTATTTTTGTTGCCAGTTATTAGTTATAATTTATGATTAAATTTAAGTGATTTTGTTGTTTAATTATACAATTTTATAAATTTTATTCATTTAACTAATTAATTTATATATACATATAAGTTTGATAAGAAAATTAAATTATTTAATAACATTTAAATTTATGTTTGAAAACTGTGTTGATGAGTATTTATAATTTTAATTAATGACAATTAACATAAGTAAAATTATGCTAAACTTACTCTTAATTATAATTACTTTATTAAATTGTTTCCTGGCGCTAAACAGTTGCTCTGTATTATTTTTACATTTCAATTCTTTAATTAAAGACTCGTATAATTATATACAATTACTTTTATATATAAAAATTGTTTATTTAAACTAGAAACTTGCCGTATTTATATAAGATAAATTTACATTTTAAAACTAATTATCAATTTTAATTATAATTTAATATTTTTCTTTTGCTTTATATTAAAACTCTAATTTAAAAGGTGAAGAAATTACAATTTTTAAAACGAAACCGTATCAATTTTAAATGCTTTAATGGAAGAAATTTAACTATTTTTATAATATAATTATACCATAAAAACATTTCAACTTGTTTGATGTTTTAATCAAAGTAGTATACGGTTTGTATAACTTCATACAAGTTAGAAATCCACACAGTAATGATCTATTTAAATGTAGATCAATGTGCATAAGAATAAAGTAAAAAGATTTGCTCTAAGGAAATAGTATATGAAAAATGTAGATTAAATATTTGTTTTTAATGAGTGTCCTGCTATTTATCGAACCGTAGCTTATGTCTACGTAAGAACAAAGTTGTAGTTGTAATTTACGGTTTTTTTAATCGTATGATAAGTAAAGTTTCATTCTCGAATAATTTTCAATTAAAAAAAAAACCTAGGACAAAAATTTTTCAATATTAATGTTTGCTTTAGTTATTGAAAAATCAACTGTTTTTTTTTTATTATCTTTTTTACAAAGTAGATAATGGAATGGTATGTTTAGTATTAAAATTACACCCTATAATTACTTTCACAAATGCTGAAGCGATAATATAGAATAGTCTTATGTAATGAAGGATTTTTGTCAAATATTTTTGTTATATTTAAGTAAAAAATTCTTTCAGAAATATAGATTTTTTTCCCTTTCTTTTTGAAATTTTGTTGTATACG